TTCCAATACAAACATTAACTCAACTATCTATTACTGCGTAGAGGACACATGTCGTCTGTGACATCCAAAACTTTGTCTACTTCCTTGAGTTATTTGTGTTTATTACATGGACAGCTCCAAATACTTCTCTAAAGCAATGAGGATGAAGAGGAGAGGTGCAAGCAGAGGGAAATAATAACAAAAGCAACGTGTTCCGGTTTGTTCTCTCTGGCTGTGCTATAGACCACAACCAAAACCAACTTGGGGAGGAACGTGTTTATTTGGCTTACACATCCCATATCACAGTCCATTGAAGAACTCAGGGCAGGAACTCAAAGCAGGAACCTAGAGACAGGAACAAAGGCCATGGAGGAATGACGCTCACGCAGCCTGCTTTCTAACAGCACCCAGGAACACCTGTGTAGTGGTGGCATCTACCACTGTGGGTCACCTGCCCCCATCAGTCATTAATCAAGAAAATGCCCCACAACATGCCTACATGGCAATCTGATTTGAGGCATTTTCTCAATTAACGTTCCCTCTTCCAAGATGACCCTGGATTGTGCCAAACTGAAAACAAAAAACAAACAAACAAACAAAAACCCTCTAATCGGTACAGAAAGCAAGAAGGAATGGGCTTTCAACCATTTATTAAATATGAGTTAAATGAGAAAACAACAAATTAGACATGATATATATTTTTAGTTTTTATGTGTGTTTATGTGCTTAAGGAATATATTCTAAGAGCTAATATTATGCTTTGGCTATGACTCATAATTTACATTTTTACACTGTTCTTTACTCAACTGACAGTTTAATATATGCTTTCTAAACTTCAGGAAGAAAAGAGTGCTAATATACTAAGAGATCTCTCTACCTGTTATTCCAAGTTCAAACTTGAAGAAACAAGCCAAAGGTCACTTAGATCTATTTCATTTCCTACAATATTGGAATCTATCCTGCTCCCTATAATACATGACTGGTTTCTAAAATGGAATTATGGCCTATAAAAATCACTCCAGCACTGAAATAGTTTGAACCTCATGTCTTATTTCAACAACCTTTTGAATATCAAGGAGCCCAAGGCATAACATCAACACTGAACAATTTTTATTAGGCCCTGAGATATAGAGATCAATTTGGAAGCACCTTGATACAGGGAACAAATCTGAAACCTTCCTGGATTATAGGACATACCAATTACAGAATATAATTCAGTCTAACTAGTATTTCTCACTGACTTGTACCCACCACCCATCTGTCTTAATGATATTCCTTCCTTAAATGTGAGCATTTTTCTTCAATTTCTCTGCTCAGGCCTAAATTCTTACCTAACTGCACTTCCTCATTAATTTACCCCATTCTTATAGCTTAGCCCATTTTCTGTATGGTCTTTTTCCAGGTCTTGAGAGTTCTCATCCTGGTGTCCCAAGTTTCAGCCCCTAACTACAAGTGTGTGTGTGTGTGTGTGTGTGTGTGTGTGTGTGTGTGTGTGTGTGTGTATGTATGTGTGTGTTTGTGTGTATGTGTGTGTGTGTGTGTGTGTGTGTGTGTCTGTCTGTCTGTCTGTGCTTGTGATCTGTTTTATAATTTTACTCTTTATTTTCAATTTCTTTGGTACCATCCTAATACAGGGCTTTTCCTTTTACAAGACTCATGAGTACAGCTTCCTTGTAGTATTGTCCCAAGTTCTTTCTTGAGTTCTTTCCTCTTAACCACACTGCTGGATCAACTATCATAAACTCCTTGCTATTCTTAAAAGTGATTCCACATTGCAGGCAGAAATTTTACCAGGTATACGTAGGAATATACACTATGAGAACTTGGAAAACCTTAGCCTTCCTGGATATGGCACACTGCATTTATACACTCCCTTAGGACCTTAGCCTCGATAGATATCAGGTTTCTTACCTACTGAAATGACTAGGTTTGGCTAAATAAGCAGCCTCTAAGTAAGAACTTTTATAATGTTTTGAAGCACAAAGACATGAACAAAAGCACCCGAGTAGCTCGTCTTGACTGTCAACTTAGCTGGAGTTAGAATGTCACCTAGGTGACACATCTGTGCATGTCTGTAAAGACATTTCTAGAGAGATTTAGCCAAGTGGGAGGCCCACTCTGAATGTGAGCAGCACCACCAGGAGAAACGGTGAGATGTCAGTCAAAGCACAAGGCTTCAGCCCTCTAGCGAAAGAAGATCTGGAGATACACTGTGCACCGTGGAGCACATAATCAATGACCCTGCATTTCATACTTAAAACTGTCCAGGAGTATGTCATACACTGAGGACTCTCAATGCAGTAGAAGGAAAAAAAAGAGAAAAAAAATTTGCAGGTAATGAGTAAGTTCATGGCATTGGTTGTGAGGAAGCTGTAAATGGGTATATTCATCTATAGTTTTTTGTATGTCAATAATGACAAAATAAGCTGTCTTAGAATAATGATTCAAAGTTACAGCCATTCAGTTTATAGATTTATTTTATTACGTACCTACCCATGCAAAAAAAAAAAAAACAAAAAAAAAAAACTAAAGATATCCTTCATGGGAAACACTAAATATCTAATATGGTTGTAGAAAATGTATCTTCATCTTATAGTTCATATTTCATTTTGCCAAAATTTTTACTGTCCAATTTAAGAGAAATAAAAACTTTAACCAGGAGTGAAAACTGTTTTAAAGAGCTCTCCTGAATATAAAATTAATATTCACTATATATCTGTAAATTACACAAATTATGTAAACAAAACCCAAAGTGATGTGTGACCCAAATGTGAAAAGACAATTAACATTTTAGTTTGGGGGTTGTATTGATTATTTACTTTTTAAAGCTTCTATAATTTCGTTTTATCATTCATATATTTTTTTAAAAAGAGTCATTTTACTTGAATCATATAGATAAAAGCTAATAAAAAAATGAGGCAGATTTTAATCACCTGATAATTAACACAAACAAGTAAGTTCACTCTAAAGTCAGTAAACAAATCCATTCACTCTAAGGGCTTCATCCACAGAAGAAAATGAAATTCATATTTAACTACCAGAAAAATCAGCAAGAAACATCAATTTTCATATGGAAATGATTACATGATGGACTCTAGGAAACATGACATATTAGAATGGTACCACAATCCTCTGCATGCCCTCTCCCTGCTCTTCTTCCCCGCGTCTTTCAGAGCTCTGTGTCTACATGAGACATCAACTATGTTGGTTTACTTCAGAAACTGCACTATTCAAGAATCAGGAGCTAAAGCTCACATAATTGAGTTACAGAAAATAAATGAATTTCCAGAAAGAAAACAGTTCTAAACACAGATGCTCAGGTCAATGTGAACACAAAGATGATGAAAGCAGCTGTGACAATATGAGGTGCTTACTTTATCTACCTATTGTTTCTAAAAATCAGTCTCTAAATGAGTTCAGTACTCCCCAGACTGTCTCCATGGTGAACACTATGGAATCGGTTTCTTGTTTTAACTGTGTGTGTGTGTGTGTGTGTGTGTGTGTGTGTGTGTGTGTGTGTGTGTGAAACTTGGTGACTGAGTCATCTCTCTAAACCTAGTTATTTTCTTAAGCTGTAGACTGTGAGGTATTAAAACTCCTTTAATAACAGAGCACTGGCTCTTTCTAGTGCCATCCCGTTTTTAAAATGAGTGGGTAGGTTTACAACTTAATGGTACCACGAGTCCCTACATGTGTCTCTCTTGGTGTGAGGGACAGGAGAGACGGAGACTCCCACTCCATCCCGATTCCCTGGAATCCGCATGGCTGGACACCGCTTCACTCTCTGTCCTCACTCATGTGTAAAAAGGCAAAACAAGCTGTCGGGATAAAGACACTGTTCTGTGCCCTGATCATCTGCCTGTTTCTCCTTCTCCTCTGTGGCAGCAGCAGCAGTCCTTCCCTGGCCTTGTCCCCAGAAGCTGTTCTGTCCACACAGAGCTTAGAAGTACAATGTGCTATCATCGGTTAGGGCACGGCCCTGCCACAGACCCAAGAACTGACTCCTCAAGTCTGCATATTCTTTTAGCACGACTTTAGGGGCTATGATTGTTCAGGACAATGCTCTTGATTTTAAACCTTTTTTTTCTTTTTCCTTAAGAAAAACAAGGCATGTTTCTCTTTTGAGACCTAGTTTTGGTTTTTAAAGATTTTTGCACAGAATGATACTTTCCTCTGCCACCAAAACATGTTGGGTTAAGGATATGCCATCAAGTATTTCTTCAGGCTCCAGACTAGAGACTATTGTCAGAAAAGGAAGGCAGAATTTCCTCCATCCCACCGTCAATTGTATTTCTTCTGGGTCAGCTCCACAGGGACCCCTCACAGGACCACCTTATATGCAAATTTTCTTTGAAGAAATTTTACCATGATATAATCTGATTTTGAAAGTTAGGTTTATATTTCTAAAGCGCACTTAAGCCAAGGGGGTTTGCTCCCTTTCTTTAAGAAATCTTTTTTAACAAATCACATTTTTATTTTGCTTGGAATTTTTAGGTCTCTTCTCTAATGTTTCCTTTAACTCAAATAAATTTCAATTGAGGCACTGAATTCTATAGATTTGGTTAAAAGTATTCTTTACTTTTAATTCAGTATTTTGTAAATCTGTGCAAAAGAGCTTATCATTTACACAAAGCTTAAGATGGATTTCTTTTGAAAATAAAGAAATACTGTTTCATGAATCTACATTTGAAATTTCAGCAGTAGAGAGTTTCCCTAACATGTGTGAGGCCCTGGGTTATCTCCAGCAACTTCCCCCACCCACCTCCAAAACATTAATGCAGACAGACTGCAATTACAAAAATTATATATACATGAGTGCACAATGCTAAGATTTTACAAGTCATATATGCTTAATAAGAACCTTCCATAGTTTAGAGGAGTCAGTCCTATACTCTAGACGAAGTTTCAACAAATACCAAACATCTTTTTCTAAGGTTAAATGGCCCACTGTGTTGTTAAGAGCACTGGTCAGAAAGAACACGGGCAATGATACTTGGTTCTCAAAGTGTATGTTCTCTTACATAATCATGGAAGGCTTTCGCTTCGCTGGAGTGTTCACATGTTTCCCGTCTCTCTGGAGCTGCACAGTAGAGATCCCAAAACACACTGAAAAGTAATTATGGAACATGGAGAAAATTATTAATTGATAAGACGAGAAATCACAATTTAACAAACATAAGACACTTAACTCTATACAAACCCTTTCTTCCTTAGGACAGGTATCATTTCTCTGAAAGATTTAAATTCAGTTCCTTAATTCATAACTGCATTTTACCCAAACATCTTTCCAAACTGTTAAGCATTTCCCTAAAAGGATAAAGAATTTTAAAACAATGTGGTTTTGTCCAGTCCTGAGGATCAAACCCTCATGAATAAGTTGTTGAATACCTTCATTCTCATAATTGGCTGTTCACATGACTGACAATCAGCTGAAATAATATTTAAGCCAACTTTCCCATGAAGAATAGAAATATAAATGATGTCCTACTGTAATTAATAAGAAAAAAGTGGTTCCTTTTTTGCAAGGCAATCTTACTGTCCAGTTCATAGACTACTACCCTAGCCAGCACATTGAACTGATTGAACAAGTTTTTCTTTAAAAAAATCTCTTCAATTACAAAAAGAGGTTAATAATTTTGAAACTAAAATAATCCATCTCAACTCCTTAACTGTCCTAATTAAAAAGCTGTCCTTAAAAAAAAAAAATAGGCCCTGGTCATCCTTCCAGCTATTAAGTTAACATGAGCATGAGCAAGGGTTAAACTCATGGTAAGCAGATGTCAGAGGGGTGCTTCTGAACAAAAGTTCTTCACGTTATTTGATTCCACTTTTCCAATCCACAAACCGGAGCAGTCAAGAACATGGCAGTCAGAGCAGGGCAGAGACTCACCTGCTGCTGCTTACCAGCTGTGAAAGACCAAGAGGAACTTGTTTCCACTGGTCAGAAACAACTTCCTCTTCCACACGGTTTGACTTTTGAGATTAAATCATACAACACAAACACGTCTGCCGTGCAGTAAGGATGCATTACATATCAACTGTAATCTGTGTGAGGGCCCAGGAACCTTTGGCCTTTGAAGCCTCACTTAGTCTGGCTCTTTCTCTCCTCAACAAGAAAACACTGGAGGCCTGGAGATGGAGATAATAACTTCAGTAGGACTGCCTTCAAAAAGAAACTGAGAGGCTAAGCTCTGCCACACCTTCAGTGTCTTATGTATTATTCCTTTTTCCATACGTGAAAAGAAAATCTATTTTCCTGCTTAATAAAATCCTACAACAAGAGAAATACAAAGAGGGAAATAAAGACAAAAGTAAGTTAAGTTCAATATTCAAACAAGAATGAAAGCTGTTAAAACTGTATGTGGCTTTCCCAGAGCTCTACCAAGATGAAAAGCATGAGACTCATAGATGTTCAGGGATACAGCCAGACTACCACATGGGTAAGGTGTGCATGAAGTACAGTATTCTATGATTACTCATGTCCATCTTCCAAAGGAAATGTAAAACCCTAAAAGTAAAGTGTTTAGCAGGGTTTAGTTACAGTCACAGAATGCTATACACAGCATCATGATAAGCAGCTCAGTATTATTCTTCTTCTTCTTCTTCTTCTTCTTCTTCTTCTTCTTCTTCTTCTTCTTCTTCTTCTTCTTTTTTTTTTTTTTTTTTTTTTTTTTGAGACAGGGTTTCTCTGTGTAGCTTTGCGCTTTTCCTGGAACTCACTTAGTAGACCAGGCTAGCCTGGAACTCACAGAGATCTGCCTGGCTCTGCCTCCCGAGTGCTGGGATTAAAGGCGTGCGCCGCCACCACTGTCCAGCTCAGTATTTCTTCTTATTCTCAAATTTCCTTCATTTGCTAACAAGTATCCTAAGACCTCTCCCAAAAGTCACTCTGTAACTTTATTTTTGTTTGTTTTGCTCTCTATTTTTTTGTCATAACATTTCATCTAACCTAGACTGCCCTCAGACTCTAGGTAAGCAATGATGACGATGAACCGCTAACCCTTCAGTCCCCACCTCCAAGTGCTGAGATTATAGTCATATACACCATTGCACCTTGCTTGGAATATTACATTGAAAAGACCAGATTACACAATTATTGTTTTCACTGAATATGTCCTAATAACTACTAAAGATTTTTATTAACACACATAAATATTTATCTTATAACATTAACACTGTTCTATTTCTTCCCTAACAAATTTAGTGAGCAATCAAAAGTTTACAGGATGAAGTCTTTAGATAATAAACAAGTTAATAAAATATAAAATTAATGTTATACATTTTACTTTATAGAAAGATGGTCTTCTCAAATAAAGACTAAAATGCACCATCTAAAAACATTTGCCTGCCCCACAAAATTGTTGTAAGGACAGCAAGCCTGGCGCTAGGCTATCTCACAGCACCTCAGGTAAGGGCAGCTACACTGGTTAGTCTGTCAACTTGACACAAACTGGAGTCACCTGGGAAGACAGAGACTCAGTGGAGGAACTGCTCCTTTTGATTGGTCTGTGGGCATGTCTGTAGAGGTATTTTCTTAATTAATGAGTGATGTGGGACGGACGGTCCTACCAGGCAGGTGGTCCTGAGTTGAATAAGAAGGTAGCTTAGCCAATCAGAGAGAGCAAGCCAGCAAGGATCATTCTTCCATGCTCTCAGTTCCTACTGGGATCTTACTCTGGCCCTTCTGGGATGGACTGATGGCGACCTAAAGTGTATGCCAAGTAATCCTTTTCCTCCTCAAGTTGCTTTTGGTCAGCAACAGAGAAGCAAATTAGAACACATGCATTCCCATCCTCTCTATTCTATGGAGTCAATGATTATACAGCCAAAGGAGGCCGAGAAAAGCCAGGAGAAAGTATGGCAAAGAACTCTCATAAAACAGGATGTTTTATTTAGAAACCGTATTTATTAGAAGTATTTTTGTTTGTTTTTTTCAAGACAGGGTTTCTCTGTGTAGTTTTGGTGCCTGTCCTGGATCTTGCTCTGTAGACCAGGCTGGCCTGGAACTCAGAGATCCGCCTGGCTCTGCCTCCCAAGTGCTGGGATTAAAGGCATGTGCCACCACTGCCCGGCTCTTATTAGGAGTATTTTATATTTAAGTCTAGAGTAATCTAAGATATATATCATGAAACTTCAAAATAAAAGTAAAAACAAGATAGGCCGAACTTCGGAGCTAGAATATGCGTGTTTTAAGAAGGCATCCTCTGCTTTATAACTATGTTTGTTGAGCTCTACTAACTACAAGTGGTAAAGACATCTCAAAACTGTATCTTCTCATAGGTAAAGACATCTCAAAACTGTATCTTCTCATAAGGCTCAATCCTGCTTCAACAGTGATACAGGTCATACAGCACAGTGACTATCAACCTAATATTTGGGAACAAAGGGCTATATTAGCACTCATGCCAAAAAAAAAAAAGAAAAAAAAAACTGCAGGAAGACCAAAGGACATGGTTTTATTCCACAGTAAGGACATTAAAGCCAGAAGTTCTCTACTGAATCCTTTCTTGAATTGAAAAATTTTAAATACTTTTTCTTCTAGCAATATTTAAAATCTTATCTGGATTAAATATGTCATATATTACCCATAAAAGAGACATACCATCCATTGCACACAGGTGACTGAATCTTAAGGCAATGATGAGTTGAACTGATAACTGCTCAATTGCTAAATCTCCTAAATATAAAAGTTGTATTTCATAAATCATTAAAATTCAAAAAATTCCATGGGCTTGAACAGTGACAATGAGTTTATCTCGCAGAGAAAGATTCACTGAAACACTTAATTTGTCCTTCCTGAAGGGGTTTATTGTAAGCTGTTCCAATGACCACTCAACCTGATCCTTGGTTCCCAGACCTCTAACAGCACAAGATGCTGGACTTCTGTGGGGACAGACTTTGTAACCTGAGGTGCTGGAGACTAAGGAGCATTATCTTTGGTATACATAAGCATGATGATTAATGCTTTAGATTTATGTACACACTGTATTTATCACTGAGAAAGAAGCAGAAAATGTGAATTCTATAAATGAAAACAAAAGCTGTATTAACAGAAGTAAAACTTCCAAGTAAGAAAATCTTTGGGTTTGTATCATTTACTACATTTATTATTAAAGTCTGCTCTATATAAATAAAAGAAAAACAAACTTAGTCCCCAAATTTATGGTTTTCCCCAAAAATAGTTTTCACTTCTATCCCTGAAAACATGATTCTAGAATGACTTAACTAGCTTAACATGTGATGGGAACACAGAAACAAAATGGTGGCCAGGAATCTAAAAAGCTTAATAAACAGGCTACATGTGGCCCAGAAGATAGGAAGGACCTTATTACAGTAACTAGATGGTGGACTTTCTAAAATCAGAAATTAAAAAAATGAAAGACAAATAAACAAAAATTCATATGGGAAAAATTTTTAGGAAAAAAAAGCTTTGTTATAAGTTCAAGTATGATATAAATGAATGCTAGGTATTCATAATTCCTGTAATAGTTTGGATCTGGAATGGCGTGTGTCTTAAAAACCCAGCTTGGAACTATTTTGTGGAGAGCAGGGTGTGTGCACAGGTGAGGGACGACTTTAAAACCTGGGGCCTAGTAAAGCCATCTTCTGTGTCCTTGAAGGGGACAGTGAGACATCAGATCCTACTCTTCCTTTTTCTCTTTCTTTTGTGTCCAAACCATTAGACAAAGTGGTTGCTCCATCATGTCCTCCAGTCATGATGGGCTACTTGCTTTAGGTTGAAAGAAAACGAGCCAGTAAGTCATAGGCTACAACCTCCAAAATGTTAAGTCAGTCATTCTTTTCTCTTTGTTAGCTAACTGTCCCAGGCATTTGTTGAACAACCAGAGAGCACAGTGACATACTCTCTATTGAACAAAACTATTTAGTCACAAGACCAAGGATACTTTCCATAAAATATACATACTGAACTCTTCTTCACCTTAGGACTTCCACACACATGCACTTTTAACAATAGTAAGGAGTATTTAATATCTTTAAAACATTCTTAGCCGGGCGTTGGTGGCACATGCCTTTAATCCCAGCACTCGGGAGGCAGAGCCAGGTGGATCTCTGTGAGTTCAAGGCCAGCCTGGGCTACCAAGTGA